ATTTATTTATTTATTTTTTTATTCTGGCCTTGATTTCCATGAAATCTAACTGGATTTTCAAATGTGCCTTAAGTTGAGTGAAGTGCCTGACTATCAGGAAATCTTCAAACCCACAGGAATTCTCCAAAGGAAGAGCAAAAGGAAAAGCCAGCAGGATTTGCTGGCCGTGACCCGCATACAGGTTACGTACCTTTAGAGAAAGGCTTCCCAGTTATCTCTATCTTTGTAGAGAACCCAGATCCTCTTGGACAAAGGGCATCAAATTCCGGTGATCCCTTCAGAGGGCACTCCTCGCACTCAAAGCCCCAGGCTGCCCCCACTGAACAGCAGCAAGCATCCATTCGGTGTCGGCCTGGTATCTGGGCGGTGCATTGCTCATCCTCGTGCTGCAGGTAGCAACTCTCCAGGCGAATGTCTGTTGGGCAATTGAACAGTATGTTGAGAGAGAAAGAGAACATTTAGTTCACGGCAGAGGAATCTTTTTCCAGAGTCCCTTTCTTCACAGGATAGTTTGCTCCACGTTTTTGTGGACTCAGAGGAGCGTACCAAGCACAGCACATAATTTCTAACAGCAAAATATTAATGCTAAACTCAGAAAGTAAGAGTTGAAGTAAGTTTAAAGCACCGTTGTGAAAAATAGTGCTGCAGACTTGAAGTAAATTTTGGATCAGAAGAGGATTTTAAGCATTCCAGCTTGCCATACCTACATAAGGCCTTTTAATTACTACAGTTAATTACCCTGTTCTGTGACAAATCGTAGGCATTTATTGTCGTAAAGCGACAAAGGTGCTGTGGATAGACAGCACACAGAACTTCAATATTCTGTTGCACCCTCCATTAAGGTGCACGGTGTGGCTGGGAACACCACATCCCTCCTCAGACACCTGAGTCCCAGCCCACAACACTTCCAGCCTTGGTGATTTCAGTGGGGCTACGGATGAAGAGTGCTAGGAGCACAAATGATCTGCAGGGATTGTCAGATGAATAACCTGGAACTAAATCAATGCTCTTCACCAGCTTGCAGAAGGTGATGGGCTTTGGCTGCTACCATTGGAATCTGCTCATATTCCAGCTGAACTAAGTTTGTGTCCCTGAGTGATTCCATTTGACAATTACTTATGTGGACAAAAACTTGTAAGAAAACATGCACTGCAAACATTTCTCACCACATAGATTTGCTCTTCACCAGTAGACCTGTTAATGGAATTAATACCTACCAAGACATGTTCGTCCAGAAGCATCTAAAGTCATTCCATTGGGGCACTGGCAAACAAACGATCCCAAGGTATTGACACACTGCCCGTTTGTACAGACTCCAGGAAACACCTCACATTCATTTACATCTATTCCCCAAAAAAAGGTAAATAAAAGTAATCACTAGCATGCTAAACATGAGTAAATCAGAAAAAATATGAACGTTCTAATGTTTGGTTTTTAGGATGAAATACAAAACCACAGCAGTTTACATGGCCTGACAAAATTCCAAATATTTAGTATTTCATATGCAAGTCATCCAGAATCAATTAATTAACAGAAAACTGCTGATGATTAGAAATAATACATGTTGCTTTTTGCTATTCCTGCATCTATTGAAATCAAACTCAAAAGTAACAAAAAAAGGGAGGGGCATTTAAAAATTATGTCAATTTTCATACTCACTGCAGGCCAGATTTTTGAAGCAAATGGGCAAAGAAAGACAAAGGTAAGTGCACAATGAGATTATGCATTATTCCAACAAGGTTAAGTTATGCTGTATTTTTTAATGTGGTTTTGGGGTTTTTTTTTTAAACTATAGTATTTTTATGTTCGTGTCTTATCAGGCACACCTCTGCATGTCTGGAAACTACAGCACCGTTTGAAATTCAGCCCTATGACCATGCCAGCAATTAGTAACTTCATATAGATTAAAATAAACTCCTTATAATTGCACATAAACTTCATTAGGTAAAGATTATACTTCTATATTTAAGTGGCAAATTTAGCACTTTTGGGTAAGGTTAATTTGATTAACTGTGTTAGCTTGGCCTGGGCATAAATAAATGTTTTGTAACCTAATGGTGGTACTCCAACCCGTGTCCTTTGTGGAAAGCATATGCTTCACAACTGCCTTAAGGAAAAAGCCTCCAGCATTAAATATGGCCCAAGATGAAGCATGGCATTTTTTAAGACAAGAGAGGATAAGAGCAAGAAATTAGAAGGGAATGACTCTAATAATCTGTAGCTGAACATTCATCTGTAGAGTAACCAAGAAGTGGGTGGCTGGACTCGCTAGGCCTCCAGACAAAATTCCTGGTGTGAAGAGGCTCTCAAACCACATGTAGCCATGGGGGATGATAAACATGGGGTGGACATCAGTGGTCTCTGCCCTCAAACAGATATTGTAAATAAAAGGCCCATATTGACAGGAAGGCAGGAAGTAAAGCCAGTCGACTACTAGAAACCACTGGAACACAGTTCCTGGCCTGTAAGCAATATTCCAGCTGACAGCTCCAGGGCTCACCCGTAAACTGGAGGCACACTGCCAGTTTATAGTTTGCTTATTTCCTTGCACAAGGTCCATTACTCATTTTACATGGGCTGTGTACGGGAGAACTGAGTATCACCTTTTGGGAACTGAACTTACTCCCTTGTCCTGTCTCTCACTTGCCAGTAAATTTCCTAGAGATCTTCTCCTGTCTTGCAAAATGCTTACATTGGTTGAAACCCAAATACGGCTTCAGTATGTTAAAAGCAGGAGAAACTGTCCTGAAAAAACTGGGGCTATCCAGGTCCCACTGAAATGAGAAAGATTGAAGCATGTAATAGATGTAATCCGAAGTGCTGGTAAAGGAAATGCTGAAAACAGTTATGTCTACATCTTGGAAGGATAAACTTTCCATTCCAGCAGCGCTGAAAATGTTCTAAGACTTTCCTTGTGAAGAGGGATAGGTGGGGCTGCTTTTTCCCCCCCCCCCCTTCACTTACACACTCCAGAAAGTGTTGCTGAGGTCAGATAAGTTATGTACAGTGGGTCTGCAGCACAGGCGTGCCAAGGTATTCAGTCATCATTTGGAAAGCAAAGAATATGTGTGAGGGTGTTCCTCTTTTTCTTCTTTTTTTTTTTTGTTATATTTTATTTTTTGTTCAGGGAAAAAACAATGTTTCTTTATGGAAGCTCCATATGGGAGTAATTTTTAAAACATATTTTAACTGCAGTGTCATGTCAGATGTTGTCAGTCAGGATGACCCACAGCAGTTTGAGACTCTCTGAGCTTCTGCATATTATGGAACTATGCAGTACTTTTCCAGGGGTTCAAATCAATTCAAATGAAGATGAAATAGGGTGGGACCTTCAATTCTCACAGAACAGTATAGAGTCATCTCATACCAAGCAAAAAAGCTACATATTTCAAAAAATATTTAACCTTTTCTTTAACAAAGTTTAACTGTGTCCTGGTGCCTTTTTTTAATAAGAAGTATTTTTTAATGAATCTATGCTTTGGAATGTGTCTGATTTCATATAATGCTGAATGGAAGAAAGCCAAGGTTAAGGAAAAAAACCCAAAAAAAACCTTTCATGTGAAATACAGTCTTTAAAAATACTTTTTCTAAAGCACAGTACTGGCTTGTCATAGCCCTGTATCAATAACGCCGTGTTTTATAGCATATATAAGATGCATACTTTGCCCAAATAGGTTATTCAGTTAACAGTATTTGAAGAGAGAGAACCATCCCCTTATACTGGTAGACACTGTATTTGCAAGTGTGTACTTTGAGATAAACTGTGAGTACGCAGGAATGTTAAACAAACTGAAACTAAATTCATCCCTGACATAACTCTAATAAAGTCGATAGAACTACACGAGGTAAGAATTTGGCATAGTGTTCCTCTATGCTAAATTAACCACTTAAATCAAAACACTGGCATTTTTTTCATTCAGACTCTGATTTATGTTAAGGCAACAATAAATACCTTCACACAATGTTCCTCTTATTCTTGAATATCCCTTTTGACATATCGGGTCTGTAAAACAAACAAAAGTGAACTTTTAGAATGCTACAGTCCCGAACTCACCATTAACTTATTGTGTAAAACTGATCATGTGAAATATTTTCTCGAGTTTATTGCTACGAGAAGTCTGAGTGCTTAGACAGTACCGCAGTATTCTCTGAAATAATACAGAGAGAAGACGGGGCAACTACATAAACTGTACAGAGGGTCAGCCATTATCCTCTTTTGCTTCCCATGTGTCTTAGCTAGCTAAACCAAAAGTGGTTATCTTATTCCTGCTTCATTCAAACCAATTGATTCATTTAACTTGATCACAGCACATTACAGCCCCATTTACCACGGATGGATGAGGATGAATTCTGCTTAGATATACAGGATGAATTTAACTAAAGATTTGAGCAAACTAGCAGCTTTCAGCATATAGAAATAACAAGCCACACACATTTCTGCATTCATCAGCTCATCCCCGGGTTCCCAGCTCATCCCCCAGTTCAGTCTAATTATCAAGAGAATATGCAGAGACCTCAACCTATTTCTCGATCAACCGTATGATTCTCTAGGTCATCAGTTAATCTACAGAGTATAATAACAAGGGCTACTCCCTCTCCTCTCTCCATTACCACACCAAAGATCCATTTGTTACAAACATTTTCTTGAGGCCTCTGGGGAACATGCTAAATGGTTAGGAACTCTAGATCACTAATTATGACAAACCATGCTAATGTAATGTTGCAAGTTACAGACTCTAGGTGTGGTCCCTTCCCTTCAGAATTTAAACTTGTAAAATGTTTACTATAAAGTCCAGAGTTAGAACATTCTATAGCTACATGCTACCTCTCAAATATTAAGACTTCTCTTTTACAGGCTTTATAAGGAATTAGTGCATGGGAACAGAACAAGTGAAGCTGTTTGTCTAGCCTGTGCCCAAACTCCTGTGACAACAATCTGGATCAGAATAGGAAAAATCATAGAATCACACAGCGGTTTGGCTTGGAAGGGACCTTAAAGATCAAAGATCATCCAGTTCCAACCCCCCTGCCATGGGCAGGGACACCTTCCACTCGACCAGGTTGCTCCAAGCCTCATCCAGCCTGGCCTTGGACACTTCCAGGGATGGGGCATCCACAGCTTCTCTGGGCAACCTGTCCCAGTGCCTCCTCACCCTCTCCAGGAAGAACTTCTTCCTGATGTCCAATCTAAATCTCCCCACTTTCAGTTTAAACCCGTTACCCCTTGCCCTGTCACTCCCTGCCCGTGTAAAACGTCTCCCTTCATGTTCCCCAGGAAAATGAACAGCGTTACCTCGTTCACATGGTGTACACGGGCTTCCCCAAGCAGCACCTAGTGAGGAACAGCACTGGGACTTCAGAGTTGCTCCGTTGATATTTATTTCACATCTTCCATCCACGATGTTCTGCCAACAGGTACCCTTAACAGTTTCTGTTTGGGAAAAAACCCAACGTATTGTCATGCAGATTGTTTAGCATTATACAGCAATATGTTTGCAAACACGCTTGAAGTTAACCATGAAAAAGAATCATCCTTTCATTACAACTTACCACGTCAGATTCAAATTTATATTAAAAGCTCTGAATTTATCCTTCTCTGTGCTGGACTATAGCCTGAAATCATTCCAGCACAGAGCCCTTGCAAATCCTAGTCGATGCTTATTGACCTTAACAGGGAATATCTCAACACCCTTCAAGATCTGAGTCATTGTATGTATTATGAGTCCGCCCAGAGGCACGTGCAGAAGAATGGCAGAGATATGAACCCTTTCTAGAATGGCGTAGATACGAACCCTTCCTACATCTTCCATTAATCTATTAGGTTCCCCAGCCTGAATATCTGATCTTCCCATACAGGGAATGGCAGGAGATAGCTAAGGATCAGACAGAGCTATAGCTCCACAGTTTTGCTCACTGACTAGGCAGCAGCTGTAAATTACTGTCCCTCCAGAAGAGGTAAGGGAAGAAATTATTGAGTCCATAAAGTATCTGAGTCACAGCACTGTCTGTGGCCGCTCTTGAGCTGGTCTGGACTGTGCACAACTTACTCATGCTTCATCTCAAAGAGAAAACTGCCCTTTCCTGAGAGCAGATCTTGCCAAGAACATGCCCACCCTTCTTGCAGGAGGAATGAAGTGGGTAAGCATAGAGCTGACATAGTCTTAGCATTTCTGTATTGTTACAAAAACATTTCATCTCTCTCTCAGGTTTGACACAGAAGCACACCATGCACCCCAACGCTAGTCACACTTTATGTACCCACAGCAATGGTGAAAACACTTTCTTAACCTTGTTTCTCTAACATTTTCCACTAAATTTATCTAAAATATCTAAAGTTACCTAAAATAAGTTTATAAAGTTATCTAAAATAACTTTATGAAGTTATTTTCAAATATTTCCTGAACTTGGTGTACAGCATTTGTAATCACTGGACATTTTCAACTGTCAGACATAAAATCTTCAGAAGAATATATAAATACCTATGCAGATGGTTCTAGTTGTATCCAAAGTACTTTCAGGAGAACATTCACAAGCGAAAGAGCCTGGCGTGTTTTTGCACACCCCGTTAACGCAGGGGTTAGATTCGCACTCATCAATATCTAGAAGAGAAACACACTGCCGTTAGTGCCTGGAAGCGTTAACAAAAATACATATGGCCTTTTTCAGCTTAGGGAAAAATGGGAGAAGCTTTCCTCATGACCAGTTTTCCTGATACTCTGTTTTTCTACTATGAAACTATTCACAACAGACTAATGCATGTGTCCTAAAGGCACACACACACATGAATGCATTGAACATGGAAGCAGCATCTCATGTTTTCAGGGATATCCAGCTACTGCCTTGCTTTGTGGGGACGGAGTGTGTGGTCTAAATGATCGGATACACATCCCGTCTGTGGATCAAAAAGGGTTCAAACTACGAGCTGCCTGGCTCTGCTGTCCACACAAGAGAACAGATTTGTAAAACTCAGTTCTTCTCAAGTTTTCCTCACCTTGGGCACAGTGTGGGCCCACTGGGAGCAGTCAATAAGGAGAGTGCTAGTACAGGCCTAATACAGGCTATTCCATGAGGTTATCTAATGCTTTCGGTTTGGCCTTGTCTCTCCTCGTTCCCTTACTTCCCCATTTAATTTCTCCATGGGTTTTTTTCAGTTCTACACATTATACCCTGATCAAGGTTCAGAATATTTCTGTCGCAATCTGAGGACAACCTAAACAAATAAAACTCGGATGAAATGGAGGATTCCCAATTACCTTCACACGTCTTTAGGTCAGGAGTGTATACAAATCCTTTTGGACAGGTGCAGGTGAAACTTCCAGGGGTATTTCTGCATTGCCCATTGTCACAAAGCAGCATGTTCAGCGCACATTCATCAATGTCTGTAATGAAAATCAAGAACTTTTTAAGAAAGAAAACATTTCTGGAATGGAAGTCAGGCTAGAATTGCCCTCCCAACAGCCACTTCTCATTAGATTTTGTGTACATGGAGAGAAGAAGTATACAAAGGGGAGAGAGAGAAAATACACACAATTTGCATGGATTTTAAAAGACACTAAAAAGATTTCTACATTCTTTTAGTAGACAACAGGCTTGGAATTAGTTCAAATGGAAATGACTATTCCAAATAAACAAACGCTAAAGATATCACTTACTGCACCTTCCTTCTTCATTAAGACTATCATTAAAATAATGTAAATTGTAATAGTTATATGAATTCAAACCACACAAATGTTACCTAGAGAAAAATTAACATCCTAATTTTGGTGGGGTTTTTTTTGTTTTTGTTTTTGTGTTTTTTTTTTTTTTAATAGGGGAGGAAAAAACCCCATACAAAACACCCTTCTCTTTATAGTTTTGTTGACTTTTTCCTGAGCTTTATTCTTTAGCAGGCTGCTTTGGTTTTATAAGAGCTTGTACCTCCTTTCTACACATATTCATAATATGCAACAGCCACACCATGGTTCAAAATAAAGCTGGGAACCGCACTTTTCTCTTGCTTATATTGTGGAATAGGTCTATCCAGCATCTGGTTCCCTGCACAGCAGCCCCCACCGTCATGAAAGAAATGAGCAGAAGGTTGGTTTGAAAAGGTTTGCTGGTCATCCTGGTCTTTAAGTCACCATTTTTTCAAAGCTGGCTCTGAGCTGTGTTGGATATTATGGTTAACAAGGCCAATGTAAGTCTACACTTGCTTCAGAGGTGAAAAATTTAAATAGAAATGCTAGTGCTGAATTTCGAGAGCCCTTAGGAAATCTCTGGAAGAGCTGTGGTCATTAGAAGTTGCAAGAAGGTGGCAACGGGCCATGAATGGCAGGTGAAGACCAGGAGACCCCGAGAGCAGACAGGAACAATTGGCTAAGCCAGAGAGGCCTCAGAAAGTGTTGAGAGAAGTTGGGAAGACTCAGAGGGTCAGCGCAGCAGCTGGGAACAGCAAAAGTGCTAGGAAAAGCAGGAGATTTGCAGAATAAAACAGACCGTGTGGGAAGCGTCACAGGAGTTCAGAAAAATTGAGAGAGGGCCAGGTGGAACATTATGGAAGAATGGGAAACAGCTGTGATGGAGCATGGATGTGGGCTGCAACAGGGTGGGCTGGGGAGCAGCTGGAAAACTCACAGATGGATGGAGAGAAGGGATGCCATAAGCTATGGGTAGAGACTGAAATGGGACGTGGATAATTAAAGCCAAAGAAGCAAATGGGAAAATGGGATGAATTACAGCATGATTTTTATCAAATATAGATCAGCTCTTATTTTTATGAAAAATAAGATAGTGGATAGTTTAGACTGGGATAACACAGATGACTTAAGCTATTTAGGTTTAAGTAGAGAATACAGAACCCAAATAAAATTATTATGTAAGCTGGAGATAACAGGAAGGAATTTGAGAACTTTAGGTGGTTCCAGAGCTGGCTGAAGGACAATTTACAGTAGGGTATATTAAAAAGGGGAGTAATCTCAATGGAGAGAGGATATTAGCAGTGCCTTTCAGGGATCAGTCTTGGGAATGGTACTATAAAATATTCATTGCGATGCAAAATTAAAAAATGAATGGGATCAAAAACTGTAAACAACACTAAGCTGGAAGTTATTACCAATACAGAGAATTATGCAAGCCTAAATTCATCTTGACAATGTGAATGAGAGAAATAAGATGAAATATAATCATTAACGTTCAAAACTTTGCAATTAGGGACCAATAACAATAACATGCCATAAACCAAACTCATCAGTTTAAGGCTATCGAGAAAACTCCAGATGTGACACCCAATTAGAGGTTGACTTTGATCCCAAAGTATAATGTGTATTTGAGAAAAGACTACTGCACTCCAGAATCACTTTAGGCAGCATATTCCTAAGGGCAATGGAGAATTGCTGGCACCACTATACAAGACACTTCTCATCAGAAGACTGCATACTGGTCAGACCGGACACGTTCAAGAGAAGCCTGCACTCCCTGCTTTTATGAAAAGACTGAAAGTGTGGATTTGGATAGTTTAAGCCAACAGAGTTTGAGAAAGGATATGATGACGCTTTATAAAAACTGCGGGGAAAAGTGCTGACATGGTGCTAAGTCAAATGATAATATTAGTACAACATCAACTGGTAGCAAAATGATCACAAATTTTAACAGGAAGCCAGAAGAAATTTCTAATCAGTTCTGCAAAGGAAGTCTGGAACGATGCACTGATGCAGGAGTGGAAGAAAGGAGTCTAAAGGGGTTTAAGTTATGGGCTTTCGATGGGACCGTGCAATGGAACAAGAGAATCGCCAGAAATAAAATTCGCAACAGGAGCCTTCAGGCATCTCACACCCCAGACAGTGTGAGAAGAGACTGCATTGCTATTTATTTGAATTCTTTATGTCCCATGCCACTGTGCTTCCACTGGTCACCTCTAAGGAGCAAGAAGAATTTATTTCACCTTTTCAGTGATGAAAAACTTGGCTTTAGATTTTTTTCACTTGTACAGCACAGGAAATCAGCCCAAGCTAGAGACACCATGCCATCAGATTCTGCTGGTGCTTCCAATGACAATAAATTTTCCTGTGTCTGGCCAGTACACCTAACACAGTTAAACCAATGGCTCTTTCTGAAAGTTGAAAGGGTATTTTCCCCCAAAGTCGGAGTTGAGAGAAACCACGTAAGCCTTCTGAGCATACAGGAGGCTTATCTTCTTATGATCAGTTGGGAGTTCTACCTCAATCCTCTGTTTTTGGAGGCACCTAGCACACTGGTGATCCTAGATCCCTCCTGTGGTGCATTGTAATTGTAGGATCTGGCTTCTTTTGATTCTGAGAAACATTTTTCAGTGGACTTAACTGAACTGGATGTTTATTGCCTGGTTGCCAGTGATTTGAGTCACTGATGGCAACAGTCCCTTACAGCCCCACAGTGGAGGATTTTATGAGCATTGCAAAGCACTGAAATTAAAACAAGAAGTTAGCAGAAACATCCAGAACGATCAGAAGAGCAGTTAGAGGATCTAATGAAACACTGAAAAAAACAAAAGGTGACGGAGGATAAAGACAAACATCAAACTTCAACATGAAAAATGGGACATTTCATACCAATGCAGTTTTTCCCAGTTGAATCCACTTCGTAGCCAGGGTTACAAAGACATTTGTATGTCCCATGCAGATTCTCACACCTTCCATTTGGACAGAGATCGGTATCCAGTAAGCACTCATTAATATCTAGATGAAGGTTAAAAAATCCAAACAAAATAAAAGAGTCAGAAGTTGAGGGTTGTGAGTGTTAATCCTCCAAACTAGAAAAAGATGTATTTTCAATATGACTAACACTGGCTGCTCCATGTTCATGACCATGTAGTTATGATTAGGGAATTCACACCTAAACATTCACAAATATTCAAGGGAAAACAGTATCCCTTTCACACTGATTTAAGACCATCTCCAGCCCACAGACATTTAAGAGACTTGCAAATGTAGCTAAGAACTGGGATATTTAAACTGGGGTCTTACATTTAGAGAGACACATGTACTAATAACCCCCTGTATCTCCTGATTCATGGCGTTTCCAGACAGCATCACTCTCCAAAGCATGATCATCCCTCCTTTCCAAATGATTTTCCCTCTCTACTGCCAGCACATCTTGCCTCCATCCCCACCAGCATGTCTAACAAATCAAGGGTATCACTTTTAGCCAGATCTGCTATTGACTGAATTACATTAGGTGAGCTTACCATTTCCTCCTGCAGTCATGCCCGTTCCACTGCTGCAAAGAGCCTGATATTCAGCTGGAAAAACATTAAAATACTTACTGGAATATTCTTCCTTAGCTCATTGCTTTCAGCATCATCATTTACAATATGCCATTAATTATTCGAGTGAAATAACACGCCTTTCAATTATTCTGAAAATATTAATACAGCCTCACAGTGTTCTGAACCTGGGAAACATTTCAGCAGATGCAGGGTCTGCACCTGCTCCTGAAGATGGATGAGTAAAAAAACTTCACATGGTGAACTGAGGCATTTAGGAACAGACATAAACTTCATGCTGGCCCTCCTACACAAACGAACCAGAACATATTCACAGCAGGATTCTCCACAACTCTTACGTCCAAGCCCTTGCTCAGGGTGCACACTCAAAGTGACCAGGAAACACAAAAAGTTTTACTACAAATCTAGCCCATATTTGACTTCATTTAGCAGGAGTTGATAGCAGATCAAGAATCTCCTATGCCTAAAAAAATAATTAAAATATGTACCAAAGTATCTCAATTACTGCTGGGTTCAAGTTCTTTTTTTGAGTTCAGAACAATTAACAGAATAAACCGACAGCCAGATCAGCATTAATTGTTGCCATATAGGTCAGCATTTCCAATACATTTGCAGTTTAATAACAACCCAAATAATTATACTGCTAAAATTACTAACTATTAAAAATATTTACAGAATTAGCAGTCTTCTTTTTAAGGAAAATCACATGCAACACATCTCCCACTATTGTCATAACCAGCAGATTAATATGTACCCCTGCTTGCATCAAATAATCCCTGCCACGGCATGTGAAAGCAGACCTGCTCTGGACATGCATCAGCAAAGCTTTTAGTCCAGAATGGCAGAAACTCCTGAAAAGAGCTTCTGTGGAGCACGGACAGACACGTCTTCCATTCAAGATTTTTCTTCAGTCTCTCTGAACCAGTGCTTCACCCTAAGAAAGCTTCTCCCTCCCTCACACTCTCACTCCAAGCCCAAGGAAGTGCTACACTTCGCCCTACATGAGGTGGCATTTTTTCAGCGATTGAAGAGGTGGGCAAAATAAAAATAGCTTCCACATATGCAAATGTTCTGCTAAAGCAAGTCGAATATAAACCAGAAGTCAATGATGCAGAGTCCAAAAGATTTCGACTCTAGTGTACAATAAGAAGGGCCCGCTGATATCAGCAGGGGCTGCCGGAAAGGCGCTTTCCTATTCTGCTAACATTTCCGTGGTGTTTTGCTGTTCTAAAAAACACAGTGTGCTACGAAATGGTGGTCAGCAAGTTCCTGCCTAAGAGGTCACACTGGCTCAACCAGCCTAATTTGTACCAACTGGTTTTGTCTCCCTAATGCTTTTCATAAAGCTATCAGTTAAAGCTGAGATTTAAAAAATAAATCTGTATTTTTGCCCATAAAGGAGACACCACATTAGTATGAGATGCTTGTGAACTAGACATCAAATTCTGTTTATACGCAACAACAGATTGGCTGAGTGAAAAAAAAACATTCACCAAAGTTGGGCTTCAAACTCCCTGTGGTCAGTCACTCACCTCCCCAAAACTGGGGTCTCTATTTATGACAAGGACTGTGTCAGCACAGTCTCCTTGGAAGAAGTGCTTTCCTAAACGGAGATTCTGCCCATGGAAGGAGTGTAGGACTGCTTCCTTGCCAGACAGAAGTTATGTTCCAGACAACTTTGCTTGGTGGGGATTTCAGTGACAGACCCAAGTAGTCTTGACCGACTTCACTGGATGTTTGGTTTTGCACTGCCCATCCAAAAGCTAGTTACTGTATAAACCATTTCCGATCACTTGAAGAGTATAGAATTCAAGGAGCAAACATCTGACTGACAGGTGTACATAAGGATTTGAAGATATGAATTACTCAAGATTTTTCCATTAATAACTTGAGTTTGTCGTTGCATTTTTTGTTATCCACATCTATCAAACTAGAGTTTGTTGTTTGAAAATCTGTTTTAATGAGTGTAACAACTCTGAACCCAGATACTAGCATTTACTGTCACCTCAGAAAATTCCCTCCTGCACTCTTCCAACATGCAAACCAGCAGATTGCTCAAGATATGTAACATGTAACCCTCCTGATTCAGGGTGCAACGCTAATACAAAACTGCATTTTACCTCTGTAAACATAGCTTTTCACCATAAAGCTTAAATTCGAGTGTGTCCCAGTGAATATGCCGTACCTGAATTTTGGGCTGGGCAGGGCTGACAAGGCTCCCCAAAGGCGTAGTCAGTGCTGGCACAACAGCACTCTGACTTCGTAACTGCACCGGTTAAGGGTCTCACGCACTGTCCTCTCTTGTAGCCACCATAGCACGTGCTTCGCATATGTGTATCTGAGGAGAGACATCTCTCTTAATCCTGCCATAGCCAACTATACCGCCATTAATTACCACAAGTATTAAATCAGGTGTCATAAACACTGTAAAACAGCTGTCGAAACAAAACATCTTTCACCATTTCCCTATGCTTTTCACCCACCTACACCCTCACACTACTCGGGACAGGAAATTCTTCTTCGTCATGCTCCTGAGAGTTCATAGTTACTGCATTTAATGTCTTAACGTGCGTTAGTGAACTACTAGGGGACCAATCAGTACTTAACCTTGAACTAGCCACAAGCCCTGGGGAAAAGGGACAAAGTCTCTGCCACGTGACAGGGACATTACTCACTTGCAACTTGGCAGGCCCCGTGGCAGGATCTCGGAGCTAGAACCAAGCATATCTCAAAACTTCCGAAAAAACTCAGTACTGTTTACGTTACTCTCAGAGTTGGAGGAGTGATTTGATTTTAACAAGACGTATTTCCTCTCCCCCTCACAACCCTGTTAGTTGTCTCTGATGCATCAGGGCTAAGATCACCACTGGTGCAACACCCTGGATTAAGCTCACTAAAGCCACACTAAAGCTTTTGTTTTCATTTTACGCCTGAAAAAAGGCAGAATGAGGGAAAAAGAAAAACTTGCAAAAGGAAAAGATCACCAAATGTGGTGCTGTTAAAAAAAACCCTTTATTTATTTATTAAAAAACAAAGAAAAAATCAGTGAGCTATTCTAGTGCGTAAGATTTAAAATGTTTATCTTTTCAGGTCCAGGGGTGACATTTCTCACTTTTTAAAAACTGGCCCATAACAGCTATCAGACACAGATAGAATTTTAGAATCAAACACCTCAAACACCTTTTGCTTGGACAGAAACAAGCAGAAGTGGAAAAACAGCTACGGCCTGGTTTTAGATCTTTAAAAAGAGGTGAAAGAGTAATCAAATCTTTAAGCTTAGTGACAAATGAAGAATTTTACACTGACAGAAACGGGGCCAATTCTCACCTACTCAAAACTGACACAGCACCACTCAGCTCCAACGCTGTATAGTCTACCTGACCTCATGATTTGGCCTGTTTTTTCTCTTTAAATGCAAAGGAAAAGAAAAAAAGAGCAAAATGGGCTATTACAGTAAATAGCCCAGAGCTGTCAGCATCCCATATAACTACCACCCACCAATGCATGGCAAAATGGTAAATTCTACATTCAAACTCCATCTGTCCATCAGTGCAGCATTAATGCCTTAACTCTGGCTAATTGTCACTCGCCACACATTAAGCTTGTCTTACCGACGCACACGCGTCCGTCCAGTCCTACTGCAAGGCCAGGGAAGCATTCACATCTGAAAGAGCCATCAGTGTTCACACAGCGCCCGTTCATGCATATTCCAGCTGTCTCACACTCATCGATGTCTGTTGGAGAACAGAATGAGCTTTATTAGAAATGAAATTACACAGTGTCCAATGCCTGGCCGAAACTTGTATTTGTGCAGCTTATTTTCAATGTATCCTATAGAAAAATAGCAAGTGTAAATGGAAACCAGTTCAAGTAAAGGTTTTATTAGGAATAATGATTAATTCATTCTGTGAAATGGATGAAGAAAATGCAATATTCGGAAGAAATAAACAAAAGAAAACAATTTTGCTCTCCTTGGAGAGCCAAGAGGGACTGCAATTTCCTAACTTGTTCCCAAGAGGTACGTACTCCGATTTGAGGGTCATTCAGGCAAAAACATAATCAGAGGAAGAGGAAACTGCGACTGCTAAGACAAAGGACTTCTGTAGTGTGTAACAGGGCATTCCCTTTCTGTGCTAACAGTGAGTTCATGCTGGAAGAAATCAGTCCAGATAGCAACTTGAATCTTTCACCCCCCCATGAGGTGCCTTCTCAGGGCCACCAAAGAATTTCCCTTCCTCCTGCTGCGGGTTCAGTTTTTGGAAGCACATCTGAATGTCGGCGGTCAGACCGCACGTAGTGTCTCTCCAGTGATCTGCATGACAATTGGGTTTTCCTATCAGATGCTCATTACAGCCCAGTTTATAAACTTTCAATGGAGAGACTGCACTCCAGTTTTGAAAGGAATTTGTTAATGATTTGAGCCCTGAGCAATTGCCAAGCACAAGCTTACCATCTTTGCCTAACAATAGCGCAGTGAACAATAAGGCCCTCCGCGATGAAATACAAGAATGAAGCCTTATAATATTAGGCTATCACCAAGGGATGTTAAATGAGTAAAAACGTTATATAGGCTGCGTATCCTGTTAACAGCAAGATCATTCTCTAGACACAGAGAACCTGCCATTATTTTATAAGTGATTAAAATATTGTTTGGAAGCATGTATAACCTTTATAAAATAATCACTTCATAACAACTCTCCATAATATATACAAGATACAGTGTGTGTGACAATTTCCTTTTTTCTGACCTTAAAAGGGCAAATTGAGAGTGAAACACCTCTGTGTTTTACTTAGTTTGTGTTGTTTGGCAGAAAACACAGCTTGTATGATCCAAGATTCCTTTTTCAAACTGAATATTAAAATAGAAGTTACATTTAAGTACATGGGCTCAATTCATTTCTACTTCATCCTGCAATCTTTTGTTCTGTTTCAGACAAACCCTAAATGCTTTTCCCACTTTAAATTTAGTCCTTATTCCGTGTAAGTAAAAAGAAAGATGGGACTTCAAAATGCGCCCATACTATTTAACGGTTAGACAGTTATTTTGTTAAGACAACACTGAACTCCTTTGACATACAAGTTCTCCTAAACGGAAAAAAAACCTTTCCTTTTTTAAGGTTACTTATAGAAACAGAAAGGCAAAGTAACTTTTTTTCTTTTTCCCGTAGCTCATTTTTAAAAAGATTTTGTAAGCTAGTAAGGGGTGAAATGTGCAATCCATTTTCTTCTGCACCAATTTACAGATGCGTTGAAAATACTGTTATAGCTGTTTTATACAAAGATAAAGTGGTGCACTTAGAATCGTGCAGATCAGCTGAAAACCTGGGTCCAGTAAAGATGGGGTAAAAAGCCCCTGCTCTTCCCTGGGCTGAGACTCCTCCCAGTAAATCAACTGCACACACAGCCATAAAGTCTGAATTTCGAACCTTGATGAGGCTCTGCTGTCTTCTGTGGTGAAAGTTCCCATTTGGACAACTTAAAAAATACTAGTTTTTCTGACTTTTGCCAGAATACCCCAACCTGGTTTTGGAAAACTGACTGATGGACTCATTCTCCAAGCCCAATGAGTTTTTGCCTTCTCTGCTTAGCTTGCTCAGTAGTGCCCACTGGGTACACTAAATCCTCTAATTTTAACCAGGAAAAATTTACTCAGGCTCCTAACACGCTACTCTTCAGTTGCCCTGCAATAGCTTTCAACTTGGAGAATTCCTGTTTGGTCTAAAGATGAAACAATGTATGGAACAGAAAACATGCTTTCAACCTCTGCCTGCCTGATGTAAGTATTTCCGAAAAATCGTCAGCAAACCATCAGCAGAAGCAGCTGATGGTGAATAAGTTTAGTATGTCTTGTTTTACAGGGAATACACAAGACTATAGTGTAACATTCTTTTTTGGCATGTTGCTTTATAAAGCCTGAGTGGAATTTTTTACCAGACAGCCAAGTATATGCCCTGTACTTATGCTTAAATTCCAATTTTATAGAACCGTCAATCGCAGTATCGCCAACTTTGGGTTAGAAATTCTTCCTAACCGTTCAAAATTCAGCTTAGAGTGCATCAAACGAGAAGCCTATACCAGCAATGTGTTGCACGCTGCAATTCCTACACTCCTTCATTGACCATCTAAAAAATTTGGCAAAACCACATTTTATTCCATACCACAATTTCTCCAGCAGACAGACAATTTGCTGCAGAAATGCCAGGTTGTGCTTATGCACATCCCCAACATGCGTGAGCAGGAACCACGTGTGCAAGCATGAACTTCAGAGTTTCAGCTTGTGTAAGATCTCAGTGCATCCACTTTGCAAATTCAGGATACGCGGTGTGAACGATGAGTGTTTCAAAGGCTAACGGTTCTGTAGGACAGAATTCAGTTTCTCTGTACACGTTGTGCGTACAGAAAGAACCCCGAAAGGATAAACATTAAAATGTACAGGAAAAGACACTATTAAAGATCAATCTTTTAAAACTGTTACTAACATGACTGGAGACATTTACCAATGAGTTGTGCTCTCCCTCTAGCCACTACATTCCTGGGAATTATTTCATGATACTTTGGGCAAGTGGAAGAAAGGAAACAAATATGAAGTTGTGAAAAAGTGTAATTTGGGTGTCAAGGTCTCATAATCCAGATTGACTTTGACCCAATAGCAATTTTAACACATAATTAATGTTTGCATGCTCGTTCATAGAGAAAGAGGCTTACTGTAAGTGTTGAAAAGCAGAGGGAGAAATCCTTCATTTTACCATAAGATCTGTTCCAACTTTCAGTAGGAATCAGTTGAGTTGCCTGCAATTTTGGATAATCTTCAAATATTCTTCCTTTGATGCACAGAAGTAACATTTCTCTAGGGCCAGAACCCCCTTTTTGGCTGTATCCATACTCCTGTTTAGCCAGGAGGCATATAACAGGCTGTGAAGTTGGGTTTTTAGTCTGAAGCAATTTACATACCATCTTCTTGGATGGCATTTACTGATGTTAAATTAAAAAAAACAAAAACAAAACCAAAAAAAACTCCACAAAATTAAAAATACCAGAAGATGCTCAAGGCAAAAATCAAGACCAGCGTTTGGGCTGAGCTTGCATCAGTGAGTCACATCCTTGCTAACGATACAGAGAGCAGCCACCGGTCTTTGGGAAGACGACTGGCTGAAGTGGCAAGGCCTGATGGGCATCCAGTTCTTCCCTGCCAAGTCTGAGACCAAGTCTCGCTGCCGTCCCACACACAGACTAGCTGGAAGATAAGCTTTGGCAAAGCACAGGCGTTCACCGACCACTTGGAAAACAGGTAAGAATGAGAATAAAGCTGATTGCTCTAAGTGTGCGAAAGCTGCAGCCTACACAGCCAGTAGCTGTTAAGCCAAGGAGACACCTGTATGGATCTGCACATTTGTTCATTTGAGAAACTAAAGAACAATTCATTCTTCTAATCAAAACCATCCTATTACAAAGCAAGAATGGGATCATCTCTGTGTATGATTCCCCCACCTGAAGGCTGGGCAGCACTGTCCTGCATACCTAGTGCAAAAGTTACCAAATGCAAGGGAAGTTCCAGGTGTTTTACCAGATTTATTGGCCTGGTTTGGATCTGAAGTCTAAGTCTAGACACCCCACAGCTCAGCCCTAAGACTGGCAGAGTGTTTAAGAAGCAACAGGATCCAAATTCACCGTTGTGTCAGTAACTCTCAAACCCAAATTATTTATTCAAACATTTACTTTTGTTATTGGCCCACACAACAAGATGCTGCTGTGCAATCCAGTGTGACATTTTTTTAAATCTGCCAAAGTGTAAGGAAGCACTTTTTCTGACTTGATTCCAAGAATTAAAAGATTTAAAATTTTTCAAAAGAAAAACTGTAAGTAACTTGGCCCAGCACTTGTTTATTCCTTATTTCGACTTCTGCTTTGTGCCTATAAAACTTGTTGAAACATGAAGATTTATACACACAAAACTTGCAGTTCCTGACGGGACTGAACAGAAACTCTGATGACATAACTAGCAACCAGACTGCTGCAGCATCTCCCACAAGGGTTACTGCTCAGCTAGTGCAGCAAATGGAAAAGACAACCGTGCTGTGGTGCTCATGTCTGCATCCCGGCCTGGGCACTCCCCGGCGCTGCTGTATTGACTAGGAACACCCAGGCACAAATGGGAGAAAAACCCAATGAAGGAAATGAGTCAGGATGTTTGGGTGGCCAAAGGCAGAAAACTTCAAAAGGCCGAACATGAGAAGTGAGATACACTGGGGCCAAACTGCAGAAAACCTCATAGGCAAAAAAACCTGGAGTTTAACTAGGTCAGATCACACAGTCCTTGATCAAAGAATATTTCCCACTGGCTGGTTAGGGCAGTTGCTCAACACTGTGGAGAAGACTGAGTAGTGTCTTGCACAATGACAAATCACTCTAGCTGATTAAAAAAGCATATCTGACGAGAACTCTGCCCAGTCTTTCCGTCCCCAAGGATCGCTGTAAGGAAATAAAGCGGTTCTTGAAACTAGCAGAGGGATATGACTCACAGGCTTTGGGAGCCCGTAGTTTATTGTGCTCACCTCTGCAATAGCGTCCATCAGATGCCAGCTGGAACCCCGGTTTACAAATGCACTTAAAACTGCCGTCTTCATTGATGCACATTCCATTGAGGCACATGTTCCTTATGCTGCATTCATCCATATCTGAAAATGCACATAATAGACATAATGCTCCTAACAGTTAAGTAGTAGAACTCCAAAAGATAAGCCTTAATTTCTTTCTTAGTTGTCCAAGCTATATCATAATCGGAAACATATGATGGCACATACTGCACTGCCCTAGAGGATGTGTCAAAGCAATGACTCCTTCTTTTCATAATGAATCATTAACATATGCATCCAAAAGGAGCAAAGAGATTAAAAAACAGATGAGAAACTGGAGAGCTTAAGAACTGCCAGTTGGTAAAAACCATTAAAAAAGTGAGAAAGGTAAGTAATTGAAGAGGGTTTGCAATCTTGATGTAAACAGAAGCTAGATTAGAAGCAGCCTCCCATTTGGAACAGTAAACCCCATTTTATATTACCAGTAACACCTGAAAGGGGAGGAGTGGGCACTTGTGTTTGGAGTGAAAACTTTTGTAACCTCCATTGGATGAGTCTAAGATTTATGATGTGGGAGAATTCCCAGCCCTGTGCTCAAGCATGCATCCTGTAGGCACTTTCATCAGCAACTTCCACTTAAAATAAAACCTACCCCTTCCCTGGATTCAGCATGGCAGGTCACACAGGAAGGTACTTACTAATCATAGCTTCGTACCAGCATTATTCACCCCTTGACTAATGGCATAGCAGGAAGGATTCAAATAGGAAAAGGTAGAGGTCTCAGACGTTGCTAGTCCGAACCCACATGACCCAAAAAAAAAGGCAAGTAGAGAGAATTCTGTGCTTGACTTGAGTAAGCTTTTATATCCACTTAGCCTTTATTTTGTTCTGGCACAAATGAAATCAGTTTTGGACGTTATATCCAAAAAAATCAGCACTATTTACCAGTTTCATCTAAAGGGCTACACAGAGCTACATTAAGGTATGGCACGATGCCATGGTCCTTAGCGATTAGTGTGCGTGCACATGTATTCCTACGAACAAAACTCCGTGCGTTACAGTGCCAGAGATGAAACTGTTCCTTAAGTGGATGCAACAGACATTCTGGCAACATGTGCAATGGAATTAAAAATGTTTTACCAGACTGCCGATGTCCTGGTTCTTATTACTATTAGCACATGGTATTTGGTGGGAAAGGAAGAGATCAGAATCGCGGGGTTTTTGTCCCAAATATATTAATTTCCAAATATATTTAGGCAATCTAGTTCCATAATGAGATATTTTAATAGCAGCTTATAGTGCTAAAGTGTATCTAGAAAAGAGTCAGGAAAAACAGAGTCTTAAAATGTCTGTCTCTACCAAGGATTAACAGAATCACTACTAGCACATAAAATCACTGGATCATAATGACATTACAATATATTCGGAATCGTGCTATTTTCCTTAATATTGCAGCTGTCTTGGACAGAAATTACACTTCTAGACATGGTGTGTTTTCTTTTTACTTACAGGCTAAGTCAGACAAAAATAATTTATGATTTTTAAAAAAAAAATCGTGTATCTATCCCAACCAGGAATTTTGGCATTAAGACTTTGAGCTGAATCACTGAGATAATATTCTGCCAAAAATGTTTCTAAGAACAGTGCTTGAAATTCCTTTAACGTATGAATAGATCATTGGGAACCCTCCCAAGGACCTTGGGAAGCATGATAAAGAACATTCTTCTTTTCCCCCCCTCTACCAAAGGTCTGGGAGGTAGGAACACATCAATTATGTTTACAAATTTTTCTTAAAACAGTTTTTATGGGTCAGACCAGACTGCATCTACATAAAACACATTGCTAGTCACCCCGTAAGCTCCCATAAAGCACGCTGTTAAACACACAGTAAAAGCAGGCAGCATGTGACTTGTGCTCCGCTGTAAAACGCACCACTCCCATCAAAGAAACTGCGATAGTGGTATGTGCTATTTCTCCTGCTGGACAGACATCCTGCTGAGGATTGCCAAGCCCAGGCTCCAGAACTGGCTGCAAAAGACAGTTTACTTGCCCTCCCAGATGCAGCAAAAGGTATTTAGAAATGTGATGCCTTGTTCCTTCCCTTCCCCCTCAACCAGAGGTCCTTTTTCACTGACATGAATAACCTCTCGCGACTGCGGCTGCTGCTGCGGAGTGACCTCCGGGCCGGCCTTACCTTCGCAGTTTTTGCCATCGGCTGCCACCTGAAAGCCAGCGTTACACACGCAGTGAAAGCTGCCGTCCGTATTTATGCATCGTCCGTTATTACAGATACGCCCATTCTGTAAACACTCGTCGATGTCTGAAAGCCAACCGAAAAGAAAAGTAACACTAGGGGGGTGGTGGTGTTATTTTTTCATACTCAAGAGGAATTTCCCCCATTTCCCCTTCCCTTAGGTTTTTAACCCCACACGGAAACTCTATTCACCTGAAAAAGGATTTATTTTGATTTCCATAACCGAACGTTGTAGGGGTGGAAAATGTTCATCAGCTTGAAACTTCAAGTTGCTGTGAAAGAATTTCGGTGAGCATTACCCTGCGGCTTGCTCAAACGAGAATCGGACCCTTGCAATTGTTTTTTTGCATTTTTCTTCATCATTAAAATATTTGTACTGAAGTTACAATAGTTACAATAGCTAGCTACTAGGAAAGAGGGGGGAAGCTTGTCTTCTGCTGCTGCTCTGTAAGGTAACAGGCAAGTTCGAGACTTTCCCACCTCAGAAGGTATTTCTCCTGCTTATTTTATATTTGAAACATCAGCTCCTCATTTCCCTCCTCTGCAGGAGGTGCTTGGCAAGTGCTTTGGAGGACCTGAATAGTGATATCACACGAGGCTGGCAGCTCTCCCTCTCCTCCAAACGAGGGGAGAGGAGATGCTGAGACAGACTGTCTAGACATTTTTCAGATTGCACAGTGTTCTCCATCAAGGCCTGGACCATCTCCCAGAGATTCCTGCACACAGGGGACTCTGCTCACAGAGATCTCAACCAGCCCGTGCAGATCTATCTGTCGTGCAACCACGCTGTCTCCCCAAACATCCTGGGGGTGCCCTTCCCAAGGCCCTCTCCGCAGAAGTGCGGTGCTGTGCTTCAGGAAGAAGCAGAGCACAGGGTGTCCTCCCAAACACCCCTGCTCTCTGGACACCTACCTGAGGGGGAACTGATGCCTCTCAAAATTGGGAACCTGTATTTACCTTCTTGGCAGCACGGTTGTGCTGTGAAGGTAACAACCCCTCTTCCGCAATTGAAAAGCATTTTTTGTTTTGATCACTAATGATAGAGACAACCTTATTCATCTGTGGCTCCAATTAACATATTCATTCAGCCCAGCTCCTACTGGAACGATAAGGGATCCGAACCAGCAGCTTGCGATGCAGACTGCAACGTTCAAGCAGTCACCTATCAGCCTCATCATGCAGAAGAACACCCTCTCCTGGAACCTTAGAGCAAGGGACAGATAAACATCTGGTCCTTACAGAGCCTTCATTTTTCACGAATGGACGTAAGGAGTACACTTGCAAAAGCGTATCAGCACAGACACATTGGTGTATGCGAAAAATAAAACCTCAGCACACAAAGTAGTCATGCGAAGTAATTTTACAGCAAATGCTGATTTTGGCAGGCACCAGTGCTATATGCATATTTTGCCAAATGCACCCCACTAGCCTTTTTCTTTTCCCTAAACTGGTCCTAAAAATTCCTTCAGCAAACAAAGATTCTGCACATTGTAGCGTTTTCTGAACTGCCTGTCAAGCGAGCACAGTTCCCAGAGACTGCAAAGGAACTGCTAAGTGACCACACTTTAATGCCATTAAGCTACTGGGCTTCTGACAACCATGTGTTTGTGCAATGAATCAGTCAAATTAAAAGCGTGTGACAAAAATGACTCATGAGTAAATTCATCACCGCTGAGACTCCACTTCAGCGCTCCTTCACCACTAGTCAGCTGAACTATGAAGATGCTTCCGCAACATGGCTGTTTGGCAGCAATTAGGTCAAATTCTCCCAGCAACATGCAGCGGTGGTGCTGGCTCTGCATGTCCTCCTGGACTGGAGTAAGCATCTCTACCACAAACACCTTTCTGATTCACACAGGAAGGGAAAAAAACCCAGGCACACTAATACAGATAGCTTTATATTTGCTTTTTAGAAACTCTGCTTCAGAAGGAGTGCGTGCTCAAGGAACCCTCCACTTGGTGCAGAAAGCAAACTGAAGACAAGATCAAACATCCTGTTTCATTCAGATGCTGCATTTCTTATGGAATATCAAAGTAGTCATTCATTCTCCTGCCAGAGGTCTCTCATTATGACTTAACTATAAGGGTCTGCATTCACCTTTACAGTCAAATTCCCACCCCAGGAGAGTTTGGGAGCCCCAGAACCCAACAAAGGGTTGATCAGTGGGCAGCTACATGCTCCCCATTCCCACAGGAAGACGGGATGAAGAGCACCAGAACTGTTGTTGAGCCTGTTCTTCTGAACATCAATACCAGGGCTTCTACAGCTTCCTCACATAGACATCCCCAGTGCTTGACTGCTTTTCCATGCTTTATCTAAGTTTTCATTGCTATAAATTATGTTTAATCCTTTCTCTGGCCGTGGTCAGGGACAGCACATGGGCACTGTACTCATTTTCACCCACTGGAAGACTTCTCTTTCCCCCCTACATCCCTTAGACTTTGAACAGTCTTTTATAGGTAAAGGGCTTCTCCAAAGAAGGGATGTTTAATTGTGCTTGAGATCCTCCAGAAGCAAAAGAAAAAATTCTCAATAGTTTAAAAAACAACAACAAAAAGAGAAAAGAGGTCTCTTCCACTTCAAAGGCACACACAGTGCCAAGACACTTTCAGCACAAGACAAAATGCCTTTCTTCACAACCCAGCCTAGGAACAACCAGCTCAGGCAGGTTAATAATTTTTACTGCCATATCTTATTTTCGTTTTTTTTTTAAACCCTTGTATTTAACACATCTGCTAAATTTTGCTTTAAAACTCTTTTCCCTCCTGGTATGCATACAACAGAACAGACAGGGCTGTAAAACCGTAATTTACCTCGGCACTCTGTTCTGGTTGGTGTGCTCTGTACACGACACTGGCATATGTAGGATCCCTGGGTGTTCACACAGTCTCCACTGATGCATGGATTCTTTTCACATTCATCAACATCTGTGAAACACAGACAATATATTAAAACACTGATTTAAAGTTATTCGGGTCTGTAGGGTTATTTCATTGGTTTGTAGTTGGAGAAATAGTGTGCTTCAGTCTGAAACGAAAGGGGACACCACTGAACTGCCAGTAAAAGGATCCCATGTTCAGAAAAAGGAGGATTCAGCAAGACAAGACATTGCGTGTGCAAAAAGGTAGAGGCTTTAATCCCACACCTCCACATTTCCAGCTCCACTGGAGACACAGATTTTGACAGAAGCAAAATCTTGCATGTAAGAGACAGCTAATCCTTGCTCCTATCATCAAGCTCTAGCTGAATTCCAAAATTAAAGGGCTCAAGAGCCCAAAAAGGACTCCTGATGAGCTGAAAAAGGACTTGAAAATCTTACTAAACCTGATCATGACTCATTTTGGTGTTGTTTTTTTTTTTTGACAATAGGTCATTGCATACTCAAAGAGCTCGTAGCATTTTAAAGAGCTCATTTTCAATCACTAATGAGCACATTATAGTCACAGGTTAGTAAAATAAGAAGTCCTTAGTTCTGTATAATGTTGTAACAAGTTACCATGTTTGTTATAAACTGTCTTAAAGGCCAAACTGCTGTAAAAATAAGTTTGCAGTTGAAAGCAATTAGTTCTTGGAAGTCTATTTAGGGTTTGGGGTTTTATTTTTTTGGAGGGGGGGTCGTTTTATTCAAGAATTCAGAGTTATTACATTGTGTGGAAAAGAATTTTTTTTCTTTAAAACAAAATTCCCCTCTATGATTTACAGCAGAAAACCACATACCAATGCATTCCCCTCTAACATCCAGTTGGAATCCTTTGTTGCACTCGCAGCGGTAGCTCCCAGGAGTGGGAATACAGCGCCCATTAAGGCAGAGATGTCGGAACAGTTGGCAATAGTCCGTCAAGTTCACTGGCAAGATCACTGAAATAACAGAGTTGGAAAAATATTTTAATAGGTCATCATCATAATTTTTGGTAGTCTGCAACTTGTGCAGCGTTTTCCATCGAAAGTAAACATTTACCTTCCATCACAATGTGAATTACATAGTAAAATCAGCATTGGGAGAGAGAAAATGGCACTTTTACTTGTAAAGGTTTGTCAGAAAACAGCTAGCCACCACTTTTTTTTTTTTCACTGTGGCAAGTCTAATCCTGTTTTCTTCTTTTGCAGGACAAAAGCAGACCGAGTCTGCTCATACCTAGTGGGAAAGTGGGTACGTGGCACTGCAGGGACTCTACTAAAAGCCTACAGTTGCAAAGAGCAGGCAGATTGGCTCAGTTACCTCTGTTTTCATAGATAGCAGAGTGAGAGGAAGGCAGGGATAACCCTGGAAGGTATGCCTATACGGTCCTTGGCAGGCAGACGTGAGCTGGCTCTGTCCGTGCTCCCAGCTGACCAGAAGCTGTGCAGCTACGTCAGTACAGTGTCAGGCCTGAGTTAACATATTTTGCCTCTTAGGCTTATTAGCTCAGCTTGGTGCTGAACCAAGACTAAATAGTTTCAGCTGGTGCCAGTGCAAGCAGAGCCTGCCTGCATCTGCACAGAGCATGGGTGAAAAGAGCTGTGTTTACTTCCAAAAAGAGTATGTGGCTGTGCCAAATGATTTCAGGTGGCACATGCCTACTGCAGACTACATGGGCATGTATTAAATTCCCTGAGCAAGGGACAGAATAAGCAGTATATGGGTATTCTGCTCTGGCTTCCTCCTTGCTCTGGAGAAATCTAACCTATCCACACATATCACTGAAAAAGTTCTTTCTTCGTGTTGGGTCAGCCTCAGTGCCCAGCAGACTCGTATTTTTATCGATACGCTTCCTACCTGGCCAAGCAAGAGCGAAGAAAACAACCTGAAAGATGCAGCTTTCTCCCAGCCAAGCTCTTTAATGTAACTACCACAACCTAGTCGAAGAGCTGCTCATGTGCCTCAATGCTGACACACAGCAAAGCCCACGATACGTGAGCCTTAAAATAACAGTAATGTAACTACTGCAATACATGGGCCTCAGTACGAGACAGTGAGGATGTAAATTTTGAGTCCTGTCACAGGGAAACGGCTACCAATGAGGTACACTTGCTGTAAGATACATGGTAACCTGGCTACGACTAGTAGGATATCCAGAGACTGTACGTCCACACAAAGTAAGCAAAAGATACCAACAGATGAAGGTAGCACGTTGCTCCTGAGAAACACGTGTTTTTAAGGAAACTAAATGTAAATGGTGCAGGGAAAGGTTATTTCTTTCTTACCATGAGGTGGTGGAACCCGAGACGGATAGACAATTTCTGGTTGTTGAGGAGGGTAAACACCAGGAAGGAGCGGTGGAGGGATGATGTCAGGACGGGCCGGAGGAAGGTCAGGTCTTGCTGGCAGCAGAGCAGCTACTGTGCACAACTTGCGGTACTCATCTGCAAGACAAAAACGTGAATACTGTTTTAGGCTACTGTGCCTTTCCATCCAATCCAACTCTCCCCTTTTTCATGGCATTTCAGATTAGCAGTAACAAACCTTAAATAATCAGGAAAATCTGAGCCTATGTATTTTCTTCTTAGTAACAAGCTTTGCTCTGTGAAAGGAGTCACTGATCCATAAGAGGATATCACTACTACCTGTTAGAAGACTGCTAGTAAAAAGAACCTAACTGACATTCAGGATATGAAACTGAACAGTGAGGCGGGAACCTGATCTTGGCCTACCTAGTCTTCTTCCAGGCAAAATCGTTGATGCACTCAGTGGGAAGTTTACCTAAAGAAGGACTTTTGGACTTTATCCCAAGTTAATTTAATACAAAGCTTGCCACAGAGTTAGAAAAATACCGAAAAGAGAAAAAAAGCCCTGTTTCAACTGGATTTCTTAAGTTAACCTCCTAAAACAAAGAAATATAAATATAAGCAATGAGTCAAAACCAATTAGAGAATGAATCCACTAACATTATTTCCCTGTGAAAATACAGTTTGCCAATAAAAGCAGAAACCAAATGAGGTGCAGTCTAAGGAGCGTAGAGAAAGAGCAACCAAGTCCGATCCACCCCAAGTTCATCCTTCCTCAGATGATAGGAAAACCATATATCTTGCTGTAAGCACAGTCTGAGTGTTATGCACTCTCCTATTGTTTATCTCTATGAGTGGCATCTGCCCTACTGCCCCACTTTTCCTCCTGCCCCCCACTCTTTTGTCTTTGGGAAGTGTGGGTTTTGGAACTTGCGATCACAAGAATGCACGCAGAGTATCACAATTAATGACCACATTTCCAGCTGACCTAATTCATGTCCACAATTCGTGCGTACACAAATAACTATCTGTGCAGCCAGTATCCATGAACTTCAGAATTTTAAAGTTTATGGCACACCAGGGGAGAGGAATTCTATAATGAAAACAAAATGCCACAGAGATGCATGAATTCCTGAAATAATGTAAAAAATGAGAACTGAAAAATAAATTTAGTGTTGGGAGAACTAAGCTGGATATTTCAGCCTTCAACACTTTCATCTCACTTCTATTTCCACCTGTAAAACACATTAGAAGCTCCTCCTGAACCACAGAGGATTTGTTAAATAAACATGGTCGCCTAAAGTTCTGCTTTTCCGGATTATGATCTTTGCATATATTTTAATGCTCTTAGGTGAGCAGTTTGTCTCATGTGTTACTGCATTTCCCTCTATCGTTCCTTAGAGTGATTTTAATCTTTAAATCATTCCCAAGAGATTTTGTTGTATTATGCATTGTATTTTGTTCATTTGGGGTTTTTTTTCCTAGCTTTCTATTTTGCCTGTTCATCTGCAAGCTGAATCTGCTCTCCATCAGTGGTCTACCTGAGACAGAAGAGAGACATTCAGAAGAAGCAGTGTCTGTGTACGTCCACACAACAAATTCCAATACGGAAATGTTTGCTAACGATGGTGGGTTAATAGTCAGTGCTCTCATCACACATTCTCTACAACCCACCGATCAGTCCTTGGGGAAGAAACACTGCTGTATTTCTTTTTCACTCTAGACTGGTAATACCCAATTATCCAAAACCAATCCACCAGGAGCTTAGGCCTCCCATGGAAAAAAGAGTCCCAGTTTTGGGGACTCCTGCCCACGGGTGGTGGAATTAGCACACATGAAGGGACTGCTGAGGTGAAGTTCATTCCACATAAACAATTACTGCCATGTTATGCAAAGAAATACAGTGCAAGCCTTTTTCTTATTCCAACTTTAATCTCCATGAATAATTCTAGCAATAAACAGCCTATTTTATGGTAACATCTGGGGCTGCTGGCCATATTGAAAATGCAACGGGTTGGTTACATTAGGCAGCTAGTGCTCCACTTTATACTGCAGTAAATTTCCATTTCAGAGGCAGAGAGATTTTAGGCCATTGACAGCTCTAAATTCCTCACCTTGCTTCTTCAGGATACATTAAGGAATAACCAAACTTGATTACATAATGACAGCAATACCTTACATACATGTAAGGCCTTTCAGAGAATTTCAAAGCACGTTTGAAAAGAGTAATTTATAGTCTCAATTTATATCCTGAGTCGGGGCAGGAGAAGGAAAAAAAATGGCATGTAAGCATTATCTGGAAGCCCTTGCCTGGATTTATGAGTCAGGAAGTCCTGGGTTCTAGCTCCTTCTCTACCACGTCTCAGCCTGTGGCCTTGGCCAAATTACTTCACTTTTCCACCCAGTTTATTCACCACTTAGATATGAATAATTAGAAAGTATGTAAAGAGAACAGGGACTGTGTTAAGATTGAAAGCTTTCTCCTTGACTCACTATTTCAGACGAGCATTGACAGATTACACCGTTTTGTTAGCATTATTCTGGTCAGTCTTGGATGTTAAACATGTTTAAATATTATTAATGAGACAGTGACAGAACCAGGAAGAGTCTTCCAAGAGTTCTGATCATAGATCTCTGCTACAGTATTACACAGTTTCACTCAAAGGACTAAAAACAATAATAATAAACACTCCCATACATGACCTCTGCCAATTTCTTCAGAGTTGCACTGCTGCAGGGTTATGACTCCCATTCCTCCCTAACCCCTGCACCTCCCCTGAGCTCCTCCCATCAATCCTTAAGCTTCCTGCATTCTTCTTTTCTAAAGCATTTAATTAGGTCTCCAGCCCAAAACAATCCCAAAACCATCCTTCCTCCACTCCCTCACACTTGGTTTCACAATCTGCTCACCATCTTCCCTAAACTCAAATCTTACATTATCTGGGGATCCCAATACACAGGGAGGCGATAAAGTACAGCACATGTTGGTAGCAGACAGACACTATGTTCTGTGCCAAACCTCAGGACATCAGTGGCACCTGGGAAAGCTAGACATAAGAGGAAGGAAACCCCAGTTTTCCAGTGAGAATGAAATTGCAGAGGGAATAGGGATCTATTAGAAGGCTCTGGAGGAACTAACTTGAGCCTGACCTGAAGATGTTGAAAACAAAATCTGAATCAGGTAATAACCAGGCTACAAAACATTAATTATCAACGGATAAAATCCTTTGTTTATGTCTGCTTGCCCTAACCTCCTGTGGGGTGCTGAGCAACCTGCCACAGCAGGCTCCGCTTTGAGCGGAGGGATTGGACTAAACGGTCTCCCAAGGTGCCCTCCAGCCTCAACCATTCCATGCAGTTCTTCAATGAAAACATTACTGACAAAAGAAAATCACTGCCTCACCCAGTGTTCAACCACGCTCAAAAGAATGCAGGTGGGTTCATACCTGTGGATCTGATCGGGCACATTTCAGGAGCGGTGGCTACACCAGAAGACCAGCATCGGCCACTGTCACAGCAACACTGCATTTTGGACAAAGGCTGGGGGAGCTGATTGCCACAGCGTCCGTTGGTCAGGGAAGAGAAGCAGTATCCAGGACGCACATCTACCAAGAGAGAGAAATGGGTATCTATCATCAGTCCAATGAGGAATGTGGCTGTCACAAAAAGGAAAGGTCACGTTTTTCTTGGTGGATTACTTCATCAACGACATCGCGCTTGCAACATTACAACAATCAGCAAACAAAAGAAACGTGTATCCCGTATATAATAAAATATGCTTCTGTGCTCCCAAAGAAAAGTAGTGGTGTTATCTCTATTAAAGACAGTACCAGATCAATTCTGTTTAAGCTTTGATTTGAAAGGCACTGATGTAGAGCCGTAAAGTCACAGCACTGCAGCTCCCAAAGCATTAATTCATATTTCATTAGTCATGGCTTCCCCCGCTGAAGCATGTAGTGATTTGACAAGATACAGGCTCGCAGGCAAGAAAGACCAACACAGCTTTAACTGGTGCCATCACATTGTTTATGGAGATGTGCTGGCTTCCTGTCTGAGAAGGGTAAGCACATGCTGTACAAAGCATGTCCTGTACCCAGATTTCATACACTCGGCTCTAACAACATCGCACAGAGATCCCCCAGCTTAGAAAAGGGAGATAAAATGTGGATGGGAGCAAACTAAATAATAATAAAAAATAATCTTGGGATATAATCTGAAGCTGAGCCATTGTTTCACAATATGTCACATCATATCAGACTCAGTATAAGCTGTGGTGTGATTTGATGCTGCACGACAAACCAGACGAAGGGTTTTCTTCTAAAACATAGGAGCATTTGCTGTCACAATGTAGAGGAAAAAGTTGCAGATAAAACCTTAAAACAGCAAACACCATTCCCTAAAGCAACAGTTATCCAGGGCATGGCGGATCCATCTGCCTAGTAACTGCTTTCCAGAGTTTACTAGCTATTCTAGTGGATATAAAAAAAAAAAGGCAGGGAAGTTTCTTATTATTTGGAGGAAATTGATATATAGTGATATGTTGGGAGAGTCTGTGATGGTTCTGCCTTTTATTAGCTGTAACCTTGAGCACGGATATTACTGGCAGTACAGCTAAAAGGGACAGTTGGCTTTTGCTTCCAAACTTTAACTTGTATTATCATATAATGGAAATGCAAAATGGAGAAAAAAGATCTACTCAGTTCTATGGCCCTCCATTTTCTCCTGGTACCCAACTAAACTGCCACACACATACACTCCTTAATCTACCATTTAAAAAACCTAACAAAGCTCTGATTCAAAGTGCTCCCCACTGCATCTTAAGGACAAGAGGAATGGCCTCAAGTTGCACCAGGGGAGGTTTAGACTAGGAAAAACTTCTTCACTGAGAGAGTGGTCGGGCACTGGAACGGGCTGCCCAGGGAAGTGGGGGAGTCACGGTCCCTGGAGGTTTCCAAGGAGCGTGTAGACGTGGAGCTTGAGGCTTACAGGTCTTTTCCAACCTTAGTGATTCTGTGATCTGTTATAATTTTGGTCTTCATATGAAGTGGAGAGAGATTCAGAGACATGGTGTGATGGTGAGGCCGATGGAAAAGAAGAAACTCTCCAACAGAACCTATCATCATCTTGTGATCTGTTATAATTTTGGTCTTCGTATGAAGTGGAGAGAGATTCAGAGGCATGGTGTGATGGTGAGGTGGATGGAAAAGAAGAAACCCTCCAACAGAACCTATCATCATCCTCTGGAATTCATCCTTCTCTGTTTTGGTCAGTACCAAGCTTTGAAATATTTAAAAGCAATAATGAGCAGAAATGGAAAAAGGATCTACACAGGATCCATGCAAGCACACAATGTGCCAGTAAAAGGTAAACACACAGCAAACACCTTTGTCTACCTACAGGTGGTAGCTTATCCAAAACCCACATACAAACACCTTTGTCTACCTACAGGTGTAGGTAGGGTTTTTTATCCAAAAGGGTTTTTAGCCAAAACCCACATCATTTTCAGAAAAAGACAGTAAGTTTGTGAGAAAAATGCCAAATCTCTCCATATTCTTAATCAGAAGTGATTCTTTTTTTTGTCCTCTTTCATTTTTCTGTTCCAAATGGTAAAACATACAAATAAGGGCAAGAACAGCAGGAAACAACTTTTTCACTGCTTCAGTTTTTAATATTTTAATATTTTTCACTAAAATACAGTATTTCGAAAAGGCAAAAAACCCACTATGAAAAGAATTTTGAAGAAAAATATGCCTCTAAAAAAAAATAAAAGAAATAAAAGAAAAAGCCATCGATTAGTAACACTGACCAAACAAATTTATGCTAGCTGGAAGTATGGGCTAGCAGCTTTCTTAGCACTCTTCATGTACTTGGGTTGAGATGCCCTGTTCTTGATTCTGCTCTTCAGCTCTAGGAGATATTATCTTTGCTTTGTCTATTCTAACTTCTAGGGTTTGTAATAATGGAACTCCCAGTTCTTCCTTTGGATGTTTGGCTCCAGCACTGCTCAGTTTGAGTCCCATAAGGGATACATTTCTCAGAAGCACTTCCTCATCTCTAACAGAATAGACACGTTCAGCTAACACTTTTCACTTAAGACAGGCATGTTGTAATTAAATCAAGATTACATGTTTTGCCCAGCTCGAATACAGATTGGGGTTCTGTCCTTGTTAATATGGCAAGTATGCAGTCTGCATATTAGACACGAATTCAAAATATCTGCAGATAATTAATAGTGCTACCCATTTAGCACGTTTTGCCTTGGACACAAAGCCAAAATTTTAATGACGGCTGGTAGTCTGGCATATTACTTAACACAGCCTGTCATCATTTAAATACGCGATTCCTTAGCTGAACTACTTCAAAAATACAAATACAGTGGGTAGAAGAGACTGGAAAACTGCAGGAATATAACAAGGGTGTGAATGTTGGGCAGTCCTGACTGAGCAATGACTGAAAAATAAAAAGCAAATGGAAGTTGTGCATCGCTATAATTTTTTTTTTTTGTTACAGAAAGGTGACTCTCCTTCATAAGTATTAAGCACAATCAGAAATCAATGATTTAATTATCCACAGTCATTTAGGAGTCATTAAGCTGAAGCAATAAAAGCAACTCCCACAGGCATTTTAAGTTTTTTTTCGATTTTCCCCCAAATGATTTTCTGCCAAAGGTACTAAACACAGGGCGCTCTCCTGAACCCAAGTGCTGGCACTGTGTATGCGCCTTTAAATAAAAACCAAAAACTGAGGAAATAAACCTTTCATTCGATTCTTAAATGACAATAATTGCTAAAAAATCAGCACTGACAGTGGAAAAAAAAGAAATTACTGGTTTTTTTTCGATTTTCCCCCAAATGATTTTCTGCCAAAGGTACTAAACACAGGGCGCTCTCCTGAACCCAAGTGCTGGCACTGTGTATGCGCCTTTAAATAAAAACCAAAAACTGAGGAAATAAACCTTTCATTCGATTCTTAAATGACAATAATTGCTAAAAAATCAGCACTGACAGTGGAAAAAAAAGAAATTACTGCTTAAAAATGGTTGGGGGGGGGGGGGGGGGAAATGTGAATACTTGAACTGCCCCAGAGCAGGCTGTATGTTTCCCAGAAGCAGTAAGTGCTAACACTACTCTTTCATGGCTTTGGCACTGGAGTGGCAGTCCTTTAATTCACACAGTCCTTTGGTTCCTGGTCAGGCCTTTGGAAGATAGGTTCTGCTCTGCCAGAGTGAAAGCCTGAAAGAACAGCCCTGCCAAATCATCAGCACCAAGAAAGCAGATACACATGTCCCACATGCAGCTTATCATACCACTTCCTTCAATGAAAAATATCTGCAGTAAGGTCGCAACACTTGGAAGGAGGAAAAAAAGCTGTTTGGGGTGGTTACCTTCTTTCTTGAGTATATTTGCTGTCCTAAATGACTGTTGAATATAACATGGACTAAATCAAGGACAAACATGAGAGCAAGAATATCACAGAGATGTGTTCAACAATCCTGCCTATTTTAAGGCAACAAATAGGGTGTAACAAAAAAACTGTAAGAAGAAAAATTAAAGGAAAGGTCAGAATGAAGAGGAAAAGCGGAATCAGCCCACAGATAGAAAACTCATTTCAGAATACATATATAGGCACACGATGAACTTCTATATAACAGAAGGATTTCAAGATCACGAGCTGAAATATGTTCCTGGCCCACTGTTACCCATTTTAGATATTCATGAATGTCAATGACTCCTACTGTCTTATTATTTACAGGATTCTACTCACCTATGCACTTCAAGCCATCAGGAGCTGTATAAAACCCTGGCGGACACTTGCAGAAGTAACTGCTAACGGTGTTTGAACACTCTCCTCCATCACAGATCCCAGGAATGGTGCTGCATTCATCAATATCTTTAAGGCAAAAAGAGAAGCAGGGGCAGGTTAGCCAAATCAGTTCAGGCACGATAACAGGTATTTTATAATTACTATTAATGATGAAATTCAGTGTGGTCTGAGACCCCTCCTAACTTATGTACTCGGGGCCTAATTGGCAGGACCTTTTGTTAAGCATTTTATAAACACACATGAAATATAACCTAAGAAAATATTGTATCTGTAAATTGAAAAAAAAAAAAAAACAGAGAGTTTCTTTTACTGCTTAATAATGATGGATGAAAACCTTAAACTGCAGAGGGGATTTACTAACTGTATGTCAACCATAACCCCTCCAGTCTGAATTCTGCACACTAGAATCGAGGAAACTGTCACGGGACCTACGCTGGCCATAGCAATCAGCAGCTTAACCGTTAGCCTCATGGTATCTCCAGCAGCACAGCGTCTCCTGGCACCACACCGAGGCAGTACTTCATCCTGTCTCAGAGGGAGGATAGCACCTCCCGAATCGCCCATCCTTCTTACTGCACTTGGGTTTTCCTTGAAATCCCCCACGCAAAAGCACGGAGCAGCTCGGCGCTGTTTAACTAACACAATCTGACAGCTCAAAGCAGGGTGACTGCAGGCAACAAAAAATTACCTTTCCTGGCTCTCCCCACTAAGTGGAGAGAACTTTCAGTGGGTTTCTAGACAGAAAATGAAACAGCTACCGCATACTTTAGGCAATGTCCCTAATTCCCCTTGGATTTTGTCATTGGCTTTAAAATAGAAGTTTGTATCATGTTTTTCTTCACTGATGAATCTCAATCCATATACTAAATCATCAATCCAATGCAGAAAAAAATTCAGTCTGACAAAAATCCCTAACAAATACCTTCCTCTAGCAGATCATAGCTTCCTACATGAACAGAGGAAACTTGAAGGGTTTCTTCCACAGCTAGGAGATCACGTTATCTACAGTCATGTGAATAACAGCCTATGCCAGCCCCAACTGCTCCTTAATTTCCATCAGTAGCCTGTGATGTGCAGCTACTTTCCCCTGGTTTCCAGTGACTGTCTCAACAGTGCAGCTGTATCTGCTTAGCACTGCTCTCATCTTCTAGGAACCTGGAGGCCAGCTGAGCTTAGAAACAGCCCGCCTTTTTCCACGGTACCTACAAGAAGAATCAGCAAAGCAGAGCAGAAAGGGAGGTTATTCTCTAGAGTGATCAGTGACAACTGCCTGTCACGGCCATCCGTGATCACCCCATTGCTCTCCCGACGGGGAGAATCCAGCCAGAAGTAATGGCATGACAGGACTCTATCCAACCTCTCCTCCAGAGGTCTACAAACAGATAGACACATGGCTGTAATAATGATTTCACCAACCACAAAAATTTCTGAGATGAAATACTGCAACACCACCCAACACACCAAGGCAAGGAGTGAATAATATCGTAGGCATTAAAAACGATTGGAGGAATTTAAATGTAACGCCTAAATTGGAATTTGGCCCCAACAGATGGGGGAACACCCAAAGTCCCAGAGGACCGTTAATGAGCATTTTAGCATGTATAGAGCATCTCTATTCTACTTCTCCTGTGAAGACAGTGATACAAAAATTATCAATTCCTCTTCCCCTAGGTAGAGCATAAGATGCTCCAATAATGTTGTGGCCCCTTGCCTTTGGAAATGAGTGGAGGGACTGGGGTGGCACACAGAAAACCAAACCTTGCCGAGCGACCCATCCTAAGGGGCGCGGGGCCTTGGGCCCCCTGTGCACACATTCCTCCCCAGCATCTTGCTAGCTGTCGTGATGTGGGTCACATTCCTCGCTTGGGTGTGGGAGAGGGGTGTGACTTTTTGTTCAGTGCTACTTGGAGGGTGTAGCCAAAGCCTCAAGTCCGAGCACCCTGGGAGCACTGCTAAGCGACTTCTGGCTTCTGCTCCAGGATTATACTCCACAGGAGTCCCAAAAGTCTCAGTGACAAAAAATGTGGAAATTGAATTTTGGTCTGAATAGAGCCCTTAATTAACAGAGAAAAATGCAGTCGTAAATGGATCAGATTCAAGCATTTTCTGACTCAAATTCACCAATGTTTATATTAAAGTCAATGTTGCCACTGTTTATATAGAGCCCGACCTTTTTAAAAGAAAAATCATCACTCCTTATTTTAGGGTTGAGCCCAACTCAAACAGTTTTTAATTATTTATATTAGCATTGACATTCATATAAGCAACATTGTCATTGTTAAATACCCCATTTTTATAAAGGTAAGTATAGTCAATGTACTGGCAGACGTAAATGTCACTCCGGGAAAAATTACTCCCCCCAGTCACCACAGAAAAGTATTTACCTCACCATTAATGCAACTGGAAGAGGAATGGTGATATGAAGCAGTGAAATAATGTAACACTTAAAATACAGTTTCCCACCGGCTACGCTAAGAACTCGGGCCAATGCAGCTCGTTTCCCCATCTTGTGGATGTACCTGATTTCTATCATCATCTTACTTCAGTGGGGACCCACTCAAAAACCAGTACTGGTAATTCAGCAGGCAGCTCCCCCTACTACTAAATTAGTGACCAAGGACATATTACAGCTGCCAGAAGTCCTACTTGCTGGTTAGGAAGTTAAACCAAGGACGTGACCAGATGTTAATTATTACCTATTAAAAATAATTACAGTTAATTACTATAAGGCAAATACGTTGGCTTATATTGGAGACTTCAACTTAAAACTCAAAGGCATGATTTAAAAAAGCAGAATGGATATTCTGTTGTTATGTGACTGTGCTCCTAACTGCTGAATCACTATCCTATTTCATGCTGCTGGTATAAGGGTGCTACTTTTAATTCTTTGAATTGTATTAATACCTACACAGTGTTACCTAAAATTGCTTGGTACATGCAATATGAAGATGTACTGAAATATGTCCTGCTGAGGTTCAAAAATGTACAGGTTTGGAAATGAAGAAAGGAAACTTCATCCGTCTTTGCAGCTAGGCGAGCACTCCAAATGGATTTCACAAGATGGGGCAGGACATTTGTGGCAGGATTTGGGAACAAACCAAGCTACCCCAGGTTCCTGGATCTATTCTCTCAACTATTACTAGGTGCAGGCTCTGAAGTGGTGGTTGGTTGGATTTTTTTGTTCTTTGGTCGGGTTGGTTTTTGTTTTGGCTTTTTTTTTCCCCCCACATGATTCAGCAGTCAAAAAATACCATAGGAATTTGTGTACAATGCAGCCTATCCAAGTCAACATACAGTTCTCTGCTTTCAAGTACTAATGCTTAACATTTTTCCTATTCACCACGCTCTTGGTACTTCATCCACAGAAGGAAACGCTTGCAAGGGTGTTCTACCCTACAGTTGGGTTACTTTCTGCCAAAACCACTGGCAGTCAATATGAAAACCATGCTGTGTATAAACTCTTCTGAAATTTCTTTTCCTAACCTGCAATTAAATTATAAAGCTTTGCTTAAAATAGGGAGTTTTTTTCTTTGGAAAGATTAAGTCATAATTCTTCCAAAATGACTAAAAAATTTTGAGTGCTTCCTTAAAGTCACCCGATGCAAGAAAGGGAGGTGCATGCACACCCTACTCTCAGTCACACACCTTTATGATATTGAAAGGTGGCAACACAAAATCATTAACCTCTTATGAAACTTGTCTGTCCAATTACTTTAATTTTTGTCTAACAACTGAAAGGAGGATCAGTTGTAAGAGTTTAAAAATTATATGGGTTTCACAGTAAAGATGACGAATCAAAACTCTGCAATTGACACATTTTAGCACTACATTTCTTATATCTCCAAAATTCGTTTAAGGCAAAGGAGACATCTAGGCCTGAATATTATATTATGGAGAGAAAAAATACTCTCAAATCACAGTTAAAAATTAGCAAGATTCCATAATCACTCACTGCAGATTTCCATACAAATATCTAGCACCTGCTATACTTCCAAAACAGGGTGAGTGAAGAGGAAGTCAAGTATGGTTGGCACGATAAGGATGTTAAATAAGGATGTTAAATACGGTTCATCTGAGTAGGTGGGAATGTGTTGAACCTTCCAGTCATACACACTTTTTGGTTACAACATTCACACCGTGCCTCAAGAATTTCTAAAGCAGCATATCGGTTAAAAAATATTTGTAATGTTTAATTTGTTTCAGATGTACCTTTAAGTCTGTAAAATGTTATGTGAATAAAGGGCTGGAAAAAGCTGCAGGGCCAAAATTTAGGATTTTCTGGTTTAGAAGTGAAAGACTGTTATTTGTATTTGTTGTGAAGAATGCTATTTGCACATTCAAGGTAAAAGAGACTGGAAAGCTTGTTACAAACTTCTAAACAAATTTGACCCCAAAAAGAAGACTCCCCCCCCCTTTACTTTCAGAAGAAAGTTCTAAAAGTTCTTACCGTCGCATTTTTGTGTCACTTCATTAAACTTGTGTCCAGCTGGGCATTTGCACTCAAAAGATCCAACAGTATTAATGCAATTTCCCCCTTGACAGATCCCAGGGATGGCTTGGCACTCATCCACATCTATCGTATAAAAAAGGAAAAAACACCCACTTTTAATTCATTTCTCAAGAACAGCCATAATAATTTGTCTACACAGAAATTAAAGCAAATATGTCTAAATCCATTCTTCACCCATCATAATATTATGATACTTGCTTGCAAAGACAGATACTAATTTTGTAATTAATCTATGCAAAGTATGATTAAGTACAATACTCTAAATATTTTCTGCAAGAAATCACATGGCTATTATTGTTACAGACATTAAACATCTAACTGCTATTGCCTTGTTTTTCTACAACATCTGGGGAATGGTGTGCAGAGAGCGCAGCCTGCCAAATCCCAGGTTCCTTTCAAGGATCTGCAGCTGGGCACCTCGAATCGCTCGCCCCTTTGAAAGTCTTGGCAACCCCCTGGAGCGCACAAGCCCACCAGCGCAGAGAGGCGGGGGCGGCGTGTCCTGTGCGTGGAGGGGGCCTGGTGGAGAGGCACGGGGAACTGCATCGTCGTGATTGATGGAAATGATTAACTCGTCACTCCGGTAACGTCAGCACCAACGGCCTTAAGCTCTGGTTAGGATTTGAGTCAAGGCGTTTCATAGCCATAATTAATGTCTCTGGAGGAATTCTTAATGACCTACTTAGACATTCATAAATTTGGATGTACTTTTTCCCTTGATTTCTCTCTCTTTGCTTTTAACCTTTTCACTCAGGAGAATGAAACAACAAAGATGGCATCACAGGCTAGGTAGGAAGCTTAAGACAAACATGATTTCACGAGGCCCCAGTTTTTGGCCTCACAGCTGCTTTAGCACAACACGTGTGTCGTCACTCAGCTGCAAAAGCGTTGCCAGGGCTTAGTAACAGAGCAAAGAGCGTAAGGGAGGAGGAGTGGCATTGCACCAGGAGACAGTGGCTGGAGGTCTGGTGTACAAGCTCCCAGGGGCTGCCCTGGGTCTGGCGCTCCAAGTCCCTTGGGAGCAGAGCACTTCTCCAGCCCAAACGCCCACGCTCCCCCAAGGAGTACCAGCTACTGCTGGTAAAACCCGACTTCTTGGCACTAGGAGCAGTTCCAACGCAGGGACACAAGCTGAAGGAGATGACGCCTTCCAATCTCCCTTTATAAACCCCAGAGAGACAGCTGTAATGTGTCTTGGAGTCTGAAAAGTGAAGTATTATGTCTGTACAAAAGGCCAAGAGGCAATTTCCCTGGGAGACACAATTTTTGGAATGCCAAGGGGCATATCTGTACCACATGGCAGAGCATTATGCAAAGATCCCTCGGCCAACTGAACCGGGTCGGAGGGTGCAGCAGCAGAGCCAGAGCAGCTCTGAGCAGAGAGATCGCACAGCCCCAGCACGCTCACTGCTGCTGGGATGGAGCTGCTGCCATGTGCGGTGCTTGAGTTACAGGCATCAGCCAGACTTCATGGCAGTGTACTGACTTCAAAAAACAAAAACCAAACTTGAAAGAATAGAAGTCATGCTCCTGAGTCACAACGATTGTTTGCAAATCCCACCTTTTGGCTCTCATTTTCCTCCTTTGTATCTTTAAAAACCTCAGCTGTGATATTAATTTAAGTTTCAGCCAGACAGACAAAGTCAAACTGTGGGCAGCGATAGTCTATTTACTTTTTAAAATAAGCTTGCTCTCCCCTCTCTTTTATTTTTTCTGACTTCTCCACACAATAATAACGTTCCCTTTTTCCCTTCAGAGAACCTGGATTTTATTTAATCTGCTTTCCTTTACTCAGATAGAATATGGATGTGAAATCCCCGAAATGTCTTCAGTCTGAATGGATGTTATCTGATTTCAAAAGGACTGGATTTAGTACAATTGCATGAAAAATAAAGCTAATATGTGGTTCCATAGCAGATCTGTTGAAATTATGAACACATTACAAGAGAAGGGAAAACTGGAAAGTACAAGGCAAACACACAGGGCCAAAACTGTGTTGGCACCGTGCACAGATCAGCATAAATGTAACTGCATGCTAAGAAATGTGCAGCAAGCAGGAGTAGCCTCATTCAGGACTGCACAAACCCATTGGAGAGGTCGCTGCAGCTTTTCCGTGACAGAAACAAGAGGGATACAACTAGGTGTGGCATGAGTTCAGGGGTGTGGGCCACATCTCTACGCTCATAAGATTTCACAAGCGTCCAGAACCTCGATTCACAGAGTTCTGCACAATTTAGTTCTGAGCTTTACAGCAAGAGGAGAGAACAGAATGGCTGAGGTCAAAATATATGCCCATTATGCAGCATACACAAACATGCCCATCTCCAAGTTCATCGTGCCTGTCTGTCTGCAGGCACCAACCAGGACTTGGCCTGTGACAGAGGAGATCTACATTTTTTAATGCAATGGAATGCCTTGAAGTCCTTCAGAGGAATTTCATGATTAAATAAAATTACTCATAATCTTTATCTCCCCTATTTTCAAAAATATCGTAACTTATTAGAAAATGTTAGACAGATTGAAATAAACTAGCCCCAAAGACACGGTCCTGGGAATTTATAATCCACATCGGTTTAATACATAGCTGCCCCTGTTAACTTTCTCCTGTTTCCTGCCAGACATCCAGACAATAAAAGAATTTATACAGCTGGAAGTATTAGAATAAAAGCCAAAAGCAGTGTAAGGACTTTCTATGGTAAGGCATGCTCAGAAAGAAGTAAGCAACATCTGGGTGGATTTTACGATTTGAAACAAATGCAAATGCATTTCCAAAATTGTATAAAATACATAACAGGGCATTTCAAATGGCACGACACGCACTTTTCTCCAGGTCGAAGAAGCGCAGCCTAAGAGATAAGATACCCAGCATGAATCCAAAGTCAACAAAAAAATCCCACACCGGATAAATGGAACAGTATTGCCACAGATTGGTTTTTGCGTGTTTTGAGTGCTTTTTGAAACAGAAGAAATTCCTCCACGGAATGATCGAGTGGTGCTCTCAGAAAAACACCATTACAGAACCAAGGGAAAGGGCTGCTGGCAGTGAGAAATTCATTAAGATGCTGGCTGCTCTCACATGACCTAAGTTACTAATGTACTCACTTGAACATCAGGCACTCACTGAATCATGAAGTAATGCATCTGACAAGGTTTTTCCATTCTTCACACATATAGCTGAGAATGGCTTAGGACAGGTTATTCACAGCAGTGTAACTCAATTAAGATTAATCCAGTAACAATTTCAGCAGCTTTTGGGGAAGCTGTGCTGCTAACTTACCTTGACAGGCCCCAGTTCGAATGTTTGGAATGAAGCCTCGGCGGCAGGGATGCGGCTGGGCAGGACACATTTCACAGGGGTGGCCCCATGCTCTCCCAACTGTGGCACAGCAAAGGGTTTTTGTGCAGACTATTCCACTGAGCTGTCCCTGGCACATCTGGTTGGTTATCAAAGTGAAGCAAGGGCCGGTCCTGTAATCTGCGCCAAAGAGAGGAAACCTCATCAGCGTCGCAAGAAAAATACACAACGAAACTGCAAAAGCAACAGCAAAACAATTTAGGCAAGTCTTCTGCACGTAAACTGCCCACCAGCCCGATAGTTTTACTCAGCAGTGTTCTGCAGAGGATTCTTCTCAAGTTTTCTTCTCCTTCAAATGCATTGCAAATAAGCAGCCCTATAAATACATTGTGACCTTTCTACCAGGAGTATTACATACTTGAGATTCTGCAGGTCCCCCCCTTTGCTGCTTGGTTCAATCTCTAGTAATACGCTCTGGGAGGTCTTGTCATCAGTTGGTTTTAAATATTCAGGGTATTAATTAAAATAATACTGATAAAAGAGTTGATGTTTGTTTCCACAAGTGTTGCTCTCCAATGAGTCTCGAGGGAAGGGAATACAGACTGCAGGAAGTTTTTTGAGGACAGTTTTGACTGTTATTCAGGCATACACTGTACCAGATATGTGGGTAAGCTCTGCCTAGAGCTGAATGGAGGGCATGTGGAACACATCTGCTTTGATTTGTTTATGGTAGGACAGGCCACTAAGCCAACAGACAGAATACAACGAAGATGTTAATAAAATGCTAGTAGGCTTTATTTTGTTCCATTCTCCAGGGGCAACAAGCAAACAGTGGTACCGCCAGCTCCTGCTGTCTCCTGTGCATCCGGGGTGCACGCTCCCGCTAAGCCTTCACAAGTGACCCTAAAATGTTTTTTTCTGTTGTGGTGCACCAGGACAGAGTCCAGCCTCCTGTAAGCACGGCCAGCAAATTATGAACCTGGTGTTTGTCTGAACTGAAATAGTTACCAGGTGCCTCAGCCAAGGTCACTGAGTAAATCCACACTGCCGATCGGTCACGACACTATAAATGCCTCCAATTTTCATGCCACTTCCAAACTTTGTTAATGATAATGTTCCCACTAAACCGTTGAAAAAGAGTGTTGAATAGGGAAGAAGTGAGAACTTTCCCATCTCCCCGCACCAGGTGCCCCTTGAAACCTATCATTTAACTAATCTTCATTCCAGCCCAGGGACGCCATGCCCATATGCTGTAATTCTGCCAATTAATCAAGCCACTCTTTCATATAATAAATAAAATGGCCTACAGAAGCTGTACAATAGTAACAATATATCACTATCATATTCCTCAATTAAACATGATTTCCTCAGAAAAGATATCAAGTTAGTTTGAAAGACGCGTTTCTGATAAACTTGTACTAAATGAGATTAAATACCATTTACTCTTCATTAACTATGTATTACACCCTATAATTGCTATTCTATCTTTGGCCTGTTTAACAGACCTATAATCACCCAGATCATCTCTTTTCCTTTTAAAATATTGGAACAATAATAATTTTCTTCCAGCCTCTGGAAATTTGCCCTGTACTTCCAGATTTATGGAGAATTGGCCTGTGTGATACAGGAATGCTTTAGCTAGCTCTTTTCAGTCTCCCTAGCTCTGGTTAGCTGGACCAGCTGTATAAAAATATGCAATTGCAATTACTGCTATTTAATTTCGTCCTTAAATGCTATCAGACTGTAAACATAAAATTTCTATTTCATCCTGTCCAAACAGTACAGCTACAATTACTGAGACCCTCACCCTCCTCTTCCCTAGCAATTCTGTAAGCCTCATCATGCAACAGGTCAGGATCTTTGATAACATCTCTCTTACTCTTGGTTACTTAATTCCTTAATTCTTAGTATTTTTGGCTCAGTATTTCTCACTGTGTCCCTTCACTTCCCATATTAATTTTCTGCACTACATCTTCTATCAAATTCTTTTCCCATTTTTATGCATTTTTGAAACTGCTTTGATTTTCCTACTAAGACAGACTTGTTTCGTTCTTGTCTAAATTTAGATTGCCTTCTTCCTCATTTCTCATTGTAGAGATGTAGCTTTGGAAGCATGTAGTACAAAACCCAACATTACCAGCTTTATCTTATTCCTTCAGCACGCAAATGAATACAGATAAGTAATGATCAATTATATCTATCAATCATAAAATGTTCATTCCAAGATCAATTCTTCAACCTTGAACAAAACAAGGTCTGAGCGAGCTATCCACTCTACTCCATGCAAAACTCCCAATAATCAAACTCCTATATTAAAACAATAGATGACAATTTCTTTAGAAACACCACAGTTCTGTGTCGGCAACAGGAAATCTCCAGAGGAATGAAATCCCCCATTGTAGAGTGTCCCTGTGCCATTTATATACAGACAGTTTAAAAAGGGGTTATTTTGTTCTCAGTGGCAGCGGGTAGCGCGCATCAGACAGTAGTGAATAACCCATCTTGTATTTACGGTAGAATATGAATGGATCAGCATTTACGATTGTTTGCTTTCAAGCTATAAATGACTTTGCAGTGGCTAATGTGACTTAGAAATATGGTGAACCCAATGAAGTTAACTTTATAATCCTGCAAATCTTCTTGCAAGGTTTCAGTAGCAAGAAGTAGGTCAAATATGCACTCAAAACCAAGCAGATCCAGATCCTATCTGTTATTATCCAGGTTCATAGCATTTGAGTATGGGGAATTATGGACTTTACTTTCCTCTAATCCTTTGCTTTGATAAATTTTATTCTTAATACGCAGTTTTCTGCTGAGTATAGCTTCCCTTCTATTTTATCAAATACAGTCTTCCACCTTTTCAAAAGTTATATTTTCTTTGGTGTTCTTAACAGAAGATTCTAAAGGTCAGAAAATGCATGAGAAAAAGACCATCTGGATGTACACACCAACCTACAGCAACAGAGAAATCCACACTTCAAGTCAGGTTTTTTATACAGAGGCTTAATGAAAAGAGCTCTAAAATTAAAGCCTTCTTAATACCAACTTTAAGATTTGTTGACACATTGTAAGGTTAAGACCTACAAGAAGGAGAAAAGGAAATGGGATTCCGCTAACACAATGGTGAAACGAAGAGGGAATGGTATCACACATAAAAAGATTTCCTTGAGTTACACCATTTTCCTTGAAGGTGTTTGGTTTTACAAATTATGATGATTTCAGAAGACACAGTAAACCCTGGGGTCTATGCTATAAGGTAATGGTTTGGGATGTGAGCTTAAAACCCCAATCTTTAGTCCATAACAACCAAGTTTCCTTATAAGTTTGTGTCATTTGCAATTACTCAAACTACTTCACTGAGTAAAGCTCAAACACAAGGTTCCAAGTGATCAGTCCGGTGTTTAAAAGAGAGGAAGGGGGGAAATATAGCCAGAAAAGCTATTACACTGTATGTTTGTTTGTTTGTTTTTCCAGAGGTAATTTCATTTTAACTGAAGAATGTCGAAACTTGAATTAGCTTCGTTAAAAGATTTTTTTTTTAAGATGTGCAACTGAGAATTCAAATGTTTTAAGTCACTTCTAATGCAAAATTCAGCACGTGCAAGCAGCCTTCAGTAAGGCATTAGTCACGATTATCTAACAACTTTATCTGCTTCTTCAAATACTTCTTAGCTATTCTGATAAGGAGTAATTCCACAGGGAGCCTCAGACAACTGTGAAGATGGCAGAAACTGTAAAACCACATTAAGATCATATACCACCAAAAAGAGCAAGAGGGCAATAGAACGAGGCTGGTTTACACCATGCAGGAATCCAGCTTACTAAGTCCACCGGAAAGAATCAAGCTGCATTTTGACCTAAAGCTCATTCCTGTTTCAGCCACAATAATCAAGTAATTTTAGTTATCTTCTCAAAAGATCCTTTATCCTCCTAAAAGCACCAGAGAGGCTGCTGAAATATGTAGTACTGGCAGGCTTTGATCTAAACCAAGCACAGCAGTAAATAATGATAATCGTTCCAAGTAATGCTGGACAGCACCAAAGAGACTCTGAGCACCAGGATAACGCAAGACACTCAACACCAGATACACATCTTAAGCCCTGAGTGCATGTAACCTCTGTTGTTTTCAAGCACAGTATAGTTTTTAATGTAAAAATAGACTTTAAGAAAAACTCTGACCTAATGGAATGTAGATTAAACAATTATGCTAGTGCAAAGATGCTGGATGAAATTCTGTTCGGTCCTTCCTCCAAGATTCATTCCTTATAAATCTCCTATAAAGGGTTCTTAATGTTTCAAATTAACAGCCTGCTTTTGCAAACTGATAAACATCTCTTAGGGAGGTGGGCAGACTCCTCCACCCTTGGGAAAATGGGAACTAAATGGGTGCAAAGGCCGAAGGATGGCACCCTAGCAAGCCAGCATTTCTCTTACCATGATCAAGATCTCATTGCTGGAAACAGGAAAACGCCATCTCTTGCCATCATAAAGAAACGGGTAAGGATAAAATGAGCGCTGCCTCTCCAGTCCTCGGCACACGGCATGCACAGCTCACACGGTACCTCGTGCTGCACACTGCCCGAGCAGCTTAAAGCTGGTCTTTATTACAACTTCCTTTCCTGCCCAGCAGCATTTTTCTTTCTGCTGTTCGGTGGGTTGGTTGGGTTGGGTTTCTTTTACCATCGGGGGATAAGAGAGGGCCATTGGAAGTGAGACTGCACAAGGCAGAAAGTCTCATCTCTGCAAAACCTACTCCGCGCTGCTCACGTGGCCCGTGCTGCCCTGGACAGCCCACGCCACTGCTTGGCCAGGCAAAGAGAATCGCGACCAGTCGTACCGGTGGATGCTCTTTTGGAAACTGATCTCACCCAGCCAAAGAATAACTCTAGCTATGCAGTTACAAGCAGAAAACAATTCTGGGTAATTAAACTGCAGCACTCTGCAGAAACAGTATGAGCAATGGAGCTTCCATCTTTCCCTGGCCTGGAATGGCAGGTGCTGAGAATCCTATACATAACATATCACATCTTTGTTACATCAGAAAAAGTAGGATGAGGATTAGAAACACAGATGATGGGATTTCCAAAGGAGTTTCAAAAAACGTCCAGTGACGTTTCCCCACTTATGTATGGGAAAAATTAATGGGGAAGAAGAAACGGAAGAAATGTCTATGCAATATT